TCCAACTGACCCAGCCGGGACTTGAGCCAGTGACCTTCTTGCTGTGAGGCAACAGTGCTAACCACTGAGCCACCTTGTCAACCTCAGTTTACATAAATGAAAAATAAAGGTAAATGTAGGTTTGATAAAACCACACTCTACATAAAATACATTAGACTTCATATGTAAATAGTCTCCTGTTTAATATTTACAGACAATAGTCAATGTGGTGATTAGGTGTTACTTTTAATTTCTGAAATTATTATGCTAATGTCCATGACACTGAGCATTAGACAGAGCATTAGATTATGTTTTCATCACTGGGATAGATTCCACAATTACTTTTTCTGCGTTGGGGAAATCCATGGGTCTCCCTGTGGGATCTGACCCTGCTTAAACAGCCAAAACGTTCACTCCTCTTACAAACTAACATGGGATTCTATGTCAATGGAGACAATTCATCTAAGGTCCATCCAGTCTGGTGTTTGAGGATCACCTGATCTTACTCTATTCAAAAAGAGCTTATATTAGTGTAGGATAATGGCTCCAATACTGAAAGTATCTCTTACACTTCCAATTCTGTGACGCAACAATAGCAGACAATAGTTTCCGAGCCTGCTGGGTGAGGATGAATAAGGCAGGAAGATTTTATTGTGATATGATACTTTTTTTTGTTTACCCCTTATTTATGTTAAAAGGAACTCAATGGTTAGGTTAGACACTGGTATGGTTAGACACTAAAGGCAAAAACATGCACTTGTCCATTTTGAGATTTTGGGCTTTTTTATGTAATGTAAAAGAAACATCCAAACACCCTCTGTAAAAACTTCTAATACGTCAAAAAGTGAAAACAAGAATTTTGAACCTGACTTCATTCAGTGTTTAGATTTTGTGCAGGTAATGTATGCAAATATTTAATGATATGACACCTAATTTGCATATTGAACATAACATTTTAAAAAAATTGCAAGACACAAAAAATCTGCAATTCTCAATGTAATCAATCAACTGGGGAGGTATGATGACAACTAGTATTTAATTTTGATATTTGTTTATATTTATTCACATGCAATGTTTTGCCTTAAACTCAGGTGTTAATAAAGCCTGCTGAAGCCGCTGGGTTTCTGCTGTTTAATAATTTTGTCTGGCCGGTCGAGATAATTGCTATTCCTGCACAGCGGTGTAGAGGAGAACATAAAGGGCTCCATAAGACAGGTGCTTGGGTCATAAAGAGGACGTCACACCTCCTTCTCGCAAAGAAAAGAAAACACTCTCCGAAACACATGCTCCACACATGCCAACAAACAATCACTTACACATCAATAAACACACAGAGTGATGATGCAGCAGCGCTTTATGAGACATGAGTTTGATGGACCATTATATTGTTCAAATTTATGACAGCTGAGTAAATAATCTAACTATCAGACCAGACAGATCTTACAAGCAGATGTCTGTGTTATGAAGAACTTACAACAATAACAAAATGATTAAGTTTAGGTTGTAAAATGGCTGAGAATGAAAGTGAATTAAAAATGTAGTTATAGTAAATAGAAATATTTCATAAACAGAACTATAATAGAGCATATTAATGGTTTATAAATAAGTAATAAGTAACACTAGGTATTGTAATATTAAACAAAACCCAATAAACGATAAAGTTGATTAACATCTATTAAACTCCATTGTCATTGCTGGAGCTTGGATTTGCCAAATCTGCAATAAAAAGTCATTATGGCGTCAGATATTTCTTATCAAACTCTTTTAAGTATTAATAACCTGTACTTTGAAATGTCATTTACTTTGACACAGTCATTTAGTTTTAGTCTCTCATGTACTGTACATCAACAAGAATGACCTCATTTGAGACAGATATTTTCTTCCATTTTTTTCATTGTCTTTTATGAGCATCTGGGCACTGCATGTCCTCTTTCCCAAATCAACCAGTCACACTATTAGCTGTGTATATTTGAGTTTTTTTATGTGCAACAGAAACTACACCAAAACTTCCAAAAAATGAATAAATTCATGAAATAAAACAGACCAACACAAAGCTAAACAACAAAAAAACATACCAAGTAGTTTGTGCTGTATCTATCCACAAAAAATGTCCACATTTCCACATAGTCGAGTGCTATTCCTTTAAAACCCAAAAGCAAAGTCAAATCAAAAATCAATATCAAATCAGTTAAAATTATCTTATAAATTTTATGAAAATATTTTACTCTTGTTGAGAGGGTCACTTAATTTGGATTATCAGAATATTTTGTTATAGGCGCCAAATAATGAACATATGGATAGGCATAGCTGAATAAAAAGTTTAGATGGAAGAAAATGACAAACCTTTAGCTTCAAACATCATTTTCCCCTTGTTCTTATGTAAGTGTAAAATCCAGGTGAAAACCGGCCAATCAGACCTTTGTTGCACACTAAATCATTAGTATGCACACCTCAAGCTGTATTTGACCGGCCACATTCTTTTATAAGCTACTTTCCATGCACCTATGTTTATGCACATTTTGATTAACAGTTGATAGAAACGGCAAGATGTGCATACATTTTGAAAATGTGCATAAAAACCATATACGCATAATTGAGTAGGATAAATTTTTTATTCAATAAGAAAAGATGTGCATAAACTATGATGGAAACACTTTTATCAAACAAATTTCAGTATGCGCATTAAAAAGCCACGGGATTTTGTTATAAGAGATCATGTGATGTTAAAAATGTGTGTGAATGGACAAACCAGCAGGCTGATCATATTGTAAAGCATCTAAACTGTTGTTTTGGACATTCTAAAAAACGTTTAAGTATTAGTGTTATTATAATATTAATTACCTCCAGAATCAAGAGCGTCTGTGCTCCGCGTCCCACACCTTCAAAAGCCACTGCACATTCACTGTGTGACAGGATTGCCCTCTGAGGCACAAGTCTTTTTTAAATAAAGAACAGATTCACAAAGCTTCTCCTACAGCAGCAAATTACATTTGTACTTTTGATATTTGGCACCAGTTTTTCCAGGAAGTGATGATTTTGTTCAGCTTGGGGAAAAAATGCTTGTGGACAAGTGCTTTAAAGCCCGCCATGCCACATCTTTAGATTGTATTCTATCTGTTGCTATGCAAAGCAGACAGATGCAGAATGGTAGTGCTGTACAGTATGTTTGTAATGAGGCAACAAACACATGTAGACTGCTCAGTATACTGTAAGTGTTTAAAAAGTAAGAGCAAGTTTTTAAAGCAAGAGCACTCAGCTCTTACTTTAAAAATAACACCAATACAATTTAAAAAAAATCATATTTCTGCAGGGATAGATATCATTTTCTGCCTGTTTTTTATATGATAAAGCTTCAAAATACAACTCTAATACAACTTTTTAAGGGAGGCACTAACAGGAGCTGCAGAGTGTAAGAGCAGTCCTCATTAATATTCATGACCCATCCAAATATGGTCAAGCTGGAGAGTCTGAATCTATAGGCAATTTCTGGGGTTATAAATGAGCTTAAAAATGGCACCTTTAGCTACAGTATATTAGTTCAAACAACTACTTTAATAACATTTATTGTTTTTATGGACAGAACTGGCATCCAAAGTGCTAGCAACCTCAAATTTTCATTAGAAACTGCTTGAAATTTCTAAAATAAGTTGCGGTTAAACTCAAATATTTCTTTTTATTTGGATTACACTTATTGTTAACATTTTTCCTCAAATGTAATCAAACACAAGCATGCTGGGAACTACTAGCCAGTTGTAAAATATAAATTATTAAGTTCTCTGAACTTAAAACAAACAAGTTGTCAAAAATGTTCAAGAATCGTGTTACTTGAACAAGCAACACAAATATTCATGTGCAGTTCTTAAACAGCGTCTTCCAGACATGCACTCGCACGCAATTCTATCCCTGCAGCAGCACAACATTCAGACTCATATCCTGCTCAATCTATCGCACTATTATGCATGCAACATTAAGTAGCTTGCAAGCGATCACTAGCACGAGCGTATTTGCATTTGATTGTGTCTTTTAAAAGGGCTGGAGGGCAGCACTGCTGCTTGCTCGATCAAGATTTAATAAACTGGACCATATCCCAGGCATTTCATGAGATTTGTCTATGCAGGTGATGAGTGTCAGATGTGCAAATCAAAACATTATACTCTCCATGCATAAGCATCTGTTTGAACAAGGCAAAATTGTCTGGCAGTACAGCGCAAACTGAGCAAGACAGATAGAAATGACCTGAGTTTACGGTGACCTTAAATGTTCAGCGTGTTATACAGTAAACAGGAAGCAGTCATAATTTTGTCTCTGGCAGCAACTGATTACAATGCCCAGAAGTGACAGGAGACAAAATAAAATCTCAGTTGTTTATTTAAACAACTAACAATAATGACAAATAAAAATCTGAGAGAGCGAAAGTTTTTAATTTACACATTTTAAATGCAATGATTTTAAATAAAATTCACTATGAAGAAAGGTTTCTGCTTTTAATTTCAAGTTCAAATTAACTTTAGCTCAAATAACTTAATATTAACATATACAATTATTTATTATAATGATAAGTACATGTTTACTGTTAATAATAAATTAGTAAATGTTTAATTTTAAGTTGGCTTTTTCCCCATTATAGTCAGATTTAGTGTTATTAGATACTTTTAATATTCAATACAACATAAATGAACTGATTAAGATAGATAATTTACTTTTGTTTATAAATAAATATTAACATAAAACTCCACATACATATAAACAAACACATGTGTGGATAACCAACAAACTGTTATTATAAATAGTGTTATAGAGCTACAAATAGTGTATTTTCTTCATGGCATTTTTGTTTCAAAAACCTAAAACCTTTTATATATTTCCTGGACTAAACTACAGTCCCCTATTTCCATGTTCTCTGACTGCAGGTTCCTCATAAAGTATAACACAAACTACACAGCCGTTCCCCAATACAATGTTGTACTATCACCCAAAATACAACAGATCTCCACAAATGTAGATTTTCAGAAAGCTAGTACCTCATTTGTATCAGTGGACAGTGGGCTGGATGGGGTCCAACTCCGGTGTGCAAATCCAAGTCGTCCAGTCTCGAGTCTGAGGTGTTATAATGTCCATGACTGCCTTGCGTTCCTCCCGGTTACTTTTGGTTTCCCCTCAACAACACATTCACTCAGACACCAACGCTTGAAATCAAAACATCCAAATATTCACTTCAACCACAAAAATGGAATAATAAAAACTGAACAGCAAAGCCTACTAACAATTCAAGCTACCTAAAAATGCAGGTTTCTTCTCCTTTTTCCCCTCATATCCCTTGCTCACTTGTGCAAGACATTTGTCCTCTCTCTCTCTCTGTAGTGTTGTCTTTAAGTCCACTTATTTATGGCTTTATTTCTAACACCTGCCAGCAGAGGAAAAGCAGAGAAGTGCAAGCTGTTGTCTGGTTCAGAGGAGACTCTTCCTGCCAAGCAGAAAGAAAGAGCAGTGAGTGAATGTGTGTGTGTGTGTGTCTGGATTCCTGTGTGTCAACAGCAGTGGATAGCAGGCGGTCGCTTAGGCGGGTTAGTTTGGTGGGTGGGAAGAAGACTCTTTGAATATCCCTTGGTGCATACGAGTGTGTGCATGTGTATGTGTGTGTAATTAGGTAAGTATCAGTTTGAAGATAGCAAGTAGCAGAGAGGGCATGCCGAAACTCACTCAGATATGCTCTTTAAATACTCTTGAACTTCTTTTTTCTTTGCACACTTCACTTATAATGAGCCACTTTTCAAGCTAGAACGTCTAGATAGTAAAATCCCTGAACTCACATACAAATATGTGTCTGCCGGTGTATATGTTGATGTGTGTTTATTGAGAAATAAGAGTGTTTGCTTTGGTAAGAGTTAGTGTTATGGATCTTGTAAGTGATGAGTCCGTTATTAATAAGCTGAAAAGCTGGTGTCCACGTTGCATATTTTAGCACCTTGACATGTACCAACCAACCCCTCCTGCAGGCTGAACGGCGGAGGAACGCACAGCAATCATAACAATCAAAAAATGAAGGAGAGAGAGAGAGAGAGAGAGAGAGATAGGGAGAAAGAAAGAGCCTGAGGCAATGGAGATTCTTCTTTTTTTTTTGGGTAGGTGGGGTTAGAGAGAAATCATTATCAGAACACCTGTCCGCTTCTGACTTAATAAATCAGAGTTGCTTAACAAAACAGTTTGGTAAAAGTGATATCAAAGGGGCAGGTTTGTCACACAATGCTGGGATTGATGGTTTGATGGAATGAAACGGAATTTGAGAAGCAGAGATCTGCAGAAAGTAGAGCAGGAGTTGCCTACATGGACGTGTTAAAGATTAAGGATCTGACATGTTTGCCAGCTGGCATGGGCTCTCGGCTCTGGAACACAGAACTTCAATGGCTCGGCATTAGTGTTGTCTTCTTCACCTTTTTAACTTGTTCAAGCATATCATTTTCGTTCGTGTCCAAGCTCACCATTTTTGCACAATTAGGCATTGTTCGACAGGGCAGGCGTAGCTTGGAATTAAACAGGTTGTTTGGCCAAAAATTACATTCTGTGATCGTTTGCTTGCACTCATATCATTCCAATTCTGTTTTTTTCCCCTGTGGAACAAAAGATGCTTAAAATAATGTTTAAGCTGCTGTTTGTAATTTATAGATTCACAGTTCTTTTGGCTTTGGAAGCAAGGCCGCACAATTGATTGAAATCAAATCGTGATATGACTTAGTAGTTTGATTGGCAAATTGCAAGTGAGGTGATTTAATATGAGACATGTGCATATTGAATATGAGCAGCTAAAATCCAGTGTTCCACTGTCAACAGTGTTTTCAAGAAATGCTCAGTCACATGTTATTTCGATGGTCTATTAAGTTAAATTTAGGTTACATTGCATCTACATGCCAACTAACTCTCAGATTATAAGTAGACTGTTAGGTTGAGGTTAGGGTTAGTGTAAGTTGACATGTTCTGGCAAAATTTCTGATGGTCAGTTAAATGTCTGTTGAAGGAGCAGTATCAGCAGATATTAAGCAGAAAGTCTACTAATACTCAAATGGTACTTCAAAATAAAGTGTTACTAAATGCTCTTCATAAACGTAACATTCTGTAGTGCATTTAGTTATTGCCCGGCAGGTACACAATGATTTAGGTTGTGATGTCAGGTGACCAAAATTCAAGTCTAGCCAGCATCTAAAGACATTGATTTTTTATCAAAATCTAATGTCGTGTCAACATCTTAAACCAGCATCATATTGACGTCAAATACTGACAATTATTCGTCAGGTGTGGCAACCAAATTCCAACATCTGATAGATGCCATAGTGGTAACATCCACACAACATCAAGCTGTAACATCATTAAACGTTGAAATTTGGTTAATTTTAGGTTGAACATTGATGTAGGCCTGATGTTGGGTTCTGACGTCAACCTGATTTTCATTTCCCAAAAAATGCAACGTCCCCACAACTTTGGGGTACAACATCAGTCTGACACCATGTTGACTTCTTGTGCATGCTGGGTGTTTAAGGCCAAGCTAGATTGGATTAGATTGGAGCCAAGCACTGTGTTCATTTACATGTGATTAGGTCTTTATCCAGATTTTCTAGTGGCTCATTTCACAGTAAATACTCTACATAACCTACAGTAATATCTATCTTAAATATAACAAATATATGACATAAAAATAAAATATTAAATGTTTTCTATTTCCCAGTGATGGGTTGTAGCTGGAAGGGCATCCGCTAAGTTGGCGGTTCATTCCGCTGTGGCGACCCCAGATTAATAAAGGGAGTAAGCCGAAAAGAAATTGAATGAATGAAGGTTTTCTTTAGAAAAGTATCCTAAAATGTGAATTTTGGCATGCATTGTGCATCAAAATATGTGCACTTTGTGTTTCAGAGTGCGGCACAGTTTTTATTTACACAGGAGCAGCTCATTCAGTTAAAAAAAACACTCATTAACATTTTCATCACTGAAAATAATTTTATACATAACTTAAAATGAGAAATTAAAAATCCAATACTATTATACGATTGTTGATCAAATTTGAAAAATAAAATAGCTCTATTAAATTGATATTAAAGCCGGTGCACTGACATGTTGTGCAATTGTGCGTAAAGTGAAACGAGTTCAAGACAAGACTACTGGACTTTCTCAATCTTGCCCCCTGCTTCAGTCTAGCTACTGTCCTATCAAAAAGAAAAGAAAAGAAAAAAAATATATTTGGCCAAATTGTGCAGCCCAACAAATATGTAGAGAAAAAAACTACTTTTTTATATGAGATAAATAACTTATGATACTGTATTTTCACAAAACTTTTTCTTTTTTGGCTGTGCATAGTCATCATGCCCTTTCATTTATAATATAATTCATCTATATAATTCATTCTATTCATCTTAGAAGAGAACAGAGTGAACACATCCCAACTTGTCTTTTTAAAAGTGTTTTAAAATGATTGAGTTCTTCATTTGTGCCTGAATCATTTTTTAATCCTGTCCCCCAGCATGCAAACACTGAAATGCTTTTTTTTTTAACAGTTATTGAAACTAGCTTTATTTTAAAACGTAATACCTTAAACAGCCCAGAGACAGACATGACAAATGCAAATATATTAAGGTATTACTCTGACAAGCATTTCACACCAACACATATTGTACAATAGACTTCTAGAGCATTTGCCATCTTTCACAATTCTCCCTTTGTCAGTAGTACAAATATATACTTTAGTATTAATGTAGAAAAGCAAACCTCCCTGTCCTCCCACTAAATCTAAATAGGAATATATCATTCATCGGGAGGCCAGAGAGAGTGAGATGTGCAGCTGAACACAAGTATTACTAAAGTTGGAGCCAGAGGAAGTCAGATGTAAACAGCCGTTGGTTAAAGTAGAGGTGATAGAGAACGGAGTTTGGCATACACCTCTTCATTGTGAAATGCATGCTTACAAACACCCTCACACCATCAACCGGCACAAAACACAAGCCAAAATTCAGTCCAACAGCATTTCTTTTCCTTTTCTTGTTCAAAACAGTCAGTTCTGAAAGTGTTTTTGTAGCGCCCCCTTCTGGAGAAACACTTGAGCTGCAGGTCAGTCTCATGTAGCGAGACGCTTCGCTTGCTTTAAAGAAAGAAGAGAAATTTGGAGGAAAGAGAAAGAAAGAGATTGCTTAGAGAAACCAAACCATCATTCAAGCACGAATGTTTATCAAAAGTGAAGATGTTTTGCATACATTACAATACTTTCTCAGTCTGGTTTTTAAGGATAGTTCACCAAAAAAACTCAGATTTACGCACTATTTACTCTCTCTCAAGTGGTTATAAACCCTTGAGTTTACTTCTACACAAAAGAAGATATTTTGATGAAAGTTGAATACCTATAACTTCTCAATGGTTACAGGTTTTCAGCTTTCTTCAAAATATATATTCTTTTTTGTTTAGAGGAATAAATAATAATAATAATAATAATAATAATAATAATAATAATAATAATAATAATAATAATAATAATAATATCTCCGGTTTGAACAAAGAAAGGGTGAGTAAATGATGATGACAGGAATCGTATTTTTGGTTGAACGATCCCTTTAAATTTGTACTGACTAAAGTGGAGAGAAAAATATATAATAATTATTAATTAATAATAATAATAATAAAATTAATAAATTTTAGAGAGACAGAAAAAAAACGGATAGAACAATAAGAGAAATTAAGTTTACAAAGACAGAATTATGATGCGGTAAAACACTAATAAAAAAATAATTCTAAATATTTTTTCCTTTACTTATTTTAGGACATTTAATTAGATTTAATATTAGACACAGTTTCTACCTCTTCCTGACCCCCTCGCTCCGCTTCCCTCTTGTCTATGTACTGATGAAGGTGTTGTTGGGGAATGGCTTCAGACAATGTAAAGTCTAGATTGGATAAACGGCTGGCCAGAAGTGCGATATGCACATCAATAAAGCAGCATTTTTTATGACAATTTATAACAATAATTTATATTTTTACATTACTGTGATGGTTGGTAGAGTTGGTGTGAGGGTAGGTGTTAAAAAGTACAATTTATTAGGTAATTTAATAGATAGCATAAATAATGCTCGGTATAACTACTGGTTTTACATTACTGTGATGGTTGGGTTTAGGGTTGGGTGTTAAAAAATAAAATATAAAGAGTAAAGAGTAATTTTATTTTGAACCGGCAGACAATATGTAATTTGTATTATACAAAATATATAGAACATACATCTTTAATAATCATTAAGAACGATTTAAACAATGTTGTACCTGTGATGATGAACAGATAAAATGTAGATCTATTTATAAACTCTATAATTAAGTTAACCAAAATTGATTTAACAACAGAATGACCTAGAAGGAGGCTGTAAAATGACAGATAGAGGAACACACAAGGGATCATGTCAACATTTTTTTTTACTTGAACATTTTGTCCCCATAATCCTGAGTATTTGGTGTAAGTCACTGCTCGGAACCAGCGCAGCCAAATATACACTCTGACCTCAGCTAAAAGCAGAGCATCATCCTAACACATATTTTCCAGAAAAGTGGGTTGAATAATGTTTTGATCTTTTTCCCCACATGTGCTTTTCAGAATATGTGAAGTATATAAACCAGGGCAGAAAAAAGTAATGCAGAGGTCATTGCTCCACTTTTACTAGAGTAATGGAACTATGTCACACATTTATTTCATTGATATGTACAGCTATTCAAAAACAAATACTCTAAATGCCGACATTTTTTATTTTTTAATTTAGAAGAAATGTCATCAAAAATAAGTTATGAATTTATATTATCCTGTATATACATATAATAAATATTTACTGTATATAGTAGTAAACATTTGAAATGGATCAAAACCTTTAATTAAAATTGTCCTAAAACTATTGAACAACACCCATTCTCTATTTAGGACAATATGGATTTTTTTTTTTTTGATCCACTTTAAATGTTGATTTATATATAAATTCCTAACTTATTTCAACTTATTCATAATAATATAATATAATATA